GGGCCAGGACCCCCGGCCTGGGTGAGAAGCCGTGGATGGTGGGCGGGCCCCTCTTCGACGTGCGCTGCGACTCGGCCCCCGCTCTCACCTCCATCCAGTTCCCCCACTCCCTCTGCCTGGGCGGTGAGTGCTGGGCCCCCTTCCCCCCCCACCCAGGGAGGAGGGACCGTGGGACCAGCTGCTGACACCTGCCCGTGTCCCTCAGGTGATGGAGCTGGCATGGCCTTCAAGGTGCTGCACGTCAAGGGGCAGGGCGCTGCCATCGAGCCCTCCGCCGACTACTCGGCCTCCCACGTGAAGTGGCTGGTGAGCTCCTTGTCACCCGTGGGACCCCTCCTCCAGGGCCCCGAGCCCCTGCACTACCACGGCGCCGTCATCCTCTACAAGGCAGTGGATGAGCACCCCTCTTTGTCCTTTCGGGTCTACGTGGCTACTAACAATGACTCCTTTATCAAGGTAACACCCCCACCCGTGTCCTGGGTGGTGTCAGGTCGAAACACCAGCAGGGTGGGCTCAGGGTGGTGGGGGTGGGTGGTGGTGAAGAAGAGCTTTTCTCCCACCCCAGGATTTGCATGCACAGCTCAAGGTATGTGTTTATGTATAGATGATGCATCCAAGGAGGAAATTCTCTCTCTCTGCTCCACTTGGGTGAGACCTCCCCCTGAGCCCCTCAGTGCTGGGGTTCCCAACACAAGAAGGTTGTGGAGCTGTTGGAGCAAGTCCAGAGGAGGCCACAGAGGCACCTTGGCTCTGGAGCCAGGCTGGGAGAGTTGGGGTGTTCAGCTGGAGAAGAGAAGGCTCCAAGGAGACCTTAGAGCAGCTTCCAGTGCCTGAAGGGGCTCCAGGAAAGCTGGGGAGGGGCTTGGGACAAGGGCAGGGAGGGATGGGATGAGGGGGATGGATTCAAACTGGCAGAGGGAGATTGAGGTTGGGCATGAGGAGGGAATTCTTTGGTGTGAGGGTGGTGAGAGCCTGGCCCAGGTTGCCCAGGGAAGCTGTGGCTGCCCCATCCCTGGCAGTGTTGAAGGGCAGGTTGGATGGGGCTTGGAGCAGCCTGGGCTGGTGGGAGGTGTCCCTGCCCATGGCAGGGGGCTGGAACTAGAGGGTCTTGAAGATTCCTTCCAACCCAGACCAGCCTGTGGTTCTACAATTTTGTGATTCTGTATAATGAGAATTCCACACCTAAAAGATCTGCCAGGTTAGGATATGACATTTAAGGAGTTATTATGACCAGTGTGTTCACTCACAAGCTGCTACAGAAATTAAAATATATGAGAAACCTGTTTGCCTCCAAAATCCACTGTGTTCAGGATTGGTACCTGAGAGAGCTTCTTGTCCTCTTGCCCATTCCCTTGTCTACAACACGTAGGCAAACACAGGAATAAAAACCTGCCTTTTATTGGGGTTGCAAACTCTTCTATCCATGTGAAAGAAGTTTGTTTGGTGCTGAGTGCACAGCTTTCTGTGCCATTTGCCCTGTGGAACAGGTCCCAGCCAGAGAAAAGCCTGAGGAGACACATTAGCAGATTTTTAAATGCTAATTCCTTTTTACTGAGGTGAATAACCTTTCCAATCATATTTTTGAATTTTAGGATATCTCAAGAGCGGTGAAACATTCAAATAAGAAATTTATTAAAATTGACAAGCCCCCTGTCTGCCAGAAATTACTGCAGAAAGGAAAGAGATATAGATTAGTTTGTGAGCCAGAAGCTGAAATAACTCCTGAGGTAAGTCCTCTACACAACTTCCCTTTTGTGCATCACAGCTTGATTAGGAGCACAGCAGAAAGTAGCTTTTCCTGTACGTTCCTGCACTGGCATTAAGGGCATTTTTCACACTCATTTGCCATCACTCCAGAAGGGGTTTGCCTCTTGGAGACCTCAGCTTTTGGGATGGAATCCTGATGTTAAAGGCAACAGCAAAACACAGGGGAGACAAGTTGGGCTTGGGTCTGTGCCAAGAGCCACATCCCCCTCTTGAGTCAATGTTTTTGGGTAAATATTTATTTCGAACCTGTTTCCCTTGTGTAGGAAATTGAATTTGTTGATGGATCTCTCTTGAAACTGAAAAGTTACATTGAAGTTTATTTGGAGAAGCCTGATGACTTCACCTTGTCTTTGGTTGAGCTGGAGTCTGATGCCACCGTATGGAAAGCAAAACTGAGAGAGAGTGAGTCTGTCACTCCCTGCTGGAAAGGGGTGGGAGTTGGGCTGTAACTCAGCCCTTAGATGCCCTGAAAAATGGGGAGGTTTGGAGCTGGAAGTGCTAAAACACCAGGAGAAGAGCTCTGGGAGGTCATGTGGTGGATGTTGCAGATGGGTGTGTGGGAGGATGCTGCACTTCTAGTTACTAGGAACAAATAGATTTATTATATGTAAAAAATACATGCATCATATAAAACATATATGCTATATTATATTTGTCATAATATTATATATGGTGGGCTGCAGCATGTTGGATGAAAGGGGAAAAATCAACTCATTGTATACAACCTGAGCTCAGCTGCCCACACCCACCCAGCAGCTTGGTTTTGTGGCTGCTGGGCATTGCTATGAGAATTCCTTCCTCACCTTCTGTTCCCTCTGAACTCTCTTTCCCAGGTGACTGGATTCACTACGACCAGAACAAAAACGAGCAGAAAAGGAGCACAGTCAGTAAGTTCATTTGAAGATAAGGTGGGGTGGCTGGTTTTTGGTGCTCCCTGCTTGCTGTGGGAGCTCCAGTGATGTTCAAGAAGGACCCTCATCTCTTGCTTGCTTCTTAGGTGTCAAAAAACGGAAACCAACCTCCAGTATTTTGGAAGAAGATGTGCTCTGCAGCAAAAAACAAAAGACTGGCAATACTGCAGGTAGGGCATTTCTGTGACATATGAAATTACAGGCTTGGGTTATTTTGGTTTTGGTTTTTTATCCTTTTTTTTTAATCACCTTTTTTATCCTGTTAATTGAACCGGAGGTAATTTTTTGGGGTGAAGAATTCCAAGACTCTGAGCATCTGCTTTTGTAAGTGCAGGATTGGTACTTGTGTTTGTGTGCTGAAGTGCACTGTTTGTCATTCACTGGGTGAGTGAAGGGGGAAAAACAGCTGGGAAATTTGCTTTGTAAGGGTCAGCTCAGATGGTATGGAGGTACAGGTTGGATATCAGGAAGCACTTCCTCAGGGAAAGGGTGATCAGACACTGGAATGGACTGCCTAGGGAAGTGGTGGAGTCACCATCCCTGGATGTGTTGAAGGAAAGGCTGGATGTGGCACTTAGTGCCACGGTCTGGAGATGTGGGGTGGTGTTGGTTGGGCTTGATGATCTCAGAGGTCTTTTCCAGCCTCAATGATTCTGTGATTTAGTCACCGTTTTGATGAGAAGAGTGATATTAAATCTGATTTTTATTCCATGTCTTTTCAGATGGAATTGAAACAAAGAGCTTGACTGACCAGCAGCTGATGGTGGTTGCCAAGCTGTTTGGTAGGCAGTGGAGAGAAATTGCCATTGAGTGTCTTCAGATGGAAATGAAAGACATTGAGCAGATCCAGGCAATGGAGGAAGAGGTCAACATGCAAAAGTTCCGGGTGTTGAGCAAGTGGAGGGACCGGGAGCAGAGCAAGGGCACAGCAGCAGCTCTGCACAACAGCCTCCAGCAAAAAGCACCCTATGAGATCCTGCAGGTCCTGAAAGGTATCACCTCCCCCTGGCATTTAGTTAATGACATCACTGCTTTTCAGATCTATTTTAAGACTTTGCATCAGAGAGTTTACCAGATCCCGGGGACACGTTTTACTGCGTCAGTCAAAGTTGTCACCCTTCTGGTATTAGCAGTGACTTTCTTCCTGTGGCATTTTTATACTTCCCTTCAGAAACTGATGTAAAATGAACTTTGGCACTGGGGGTTGAGAGTACTGTCAGCACAACCCAGCCCTCAAGGCTGGACCCATCAGTTTTCAAGCCCCAAACCAACCCCTGCTTTTCTCAGGAGCTCCAAGAAAGAGCTCATAGACTCAGAGAACCCCAGGGCTGGGTGGACCTCAGGGATCATCTGGTCCAACCTTCCTTGGCCAAAGCACAGGCTGGACAAGAAGGCCCTGCACCCTGTCCAGCTGAATCCAGATGTTTGGGTCTTTTCTGTATTTCAGGAAGGGTCAATCACCACCTTCTCCCCCAGGGATGACGTAGTGGGGTGGGGTCCTGCAGGGCTGTGTGTGGGGATAGATTTCCTGCCCGTGGAGCTGATTTCTGGGCACTCCTTATTTTCAGTTCACCTTGTGCAAACCAAAGTTGCTGAGTGGGCTGAAAACTCAGCCCAGCAAGGGGAACCTTTCTCAAAAACAGAATATATACATTCTTTTCTTTTTTGAAACGGGCAAAACCTGGTTCTTTCTTCGTTCTCCCGAAAGGCAGCCTGGGATCCAGTGGTGGAAAGTTATTGCTCCTGCCTTCTGCCCCTCCCAGACCTCTCCATGCTGCTGGCTTTTAATACATGAATTAGTCAACCTGAGTATTTTGCAATAAGCTGCAGGGATCAACTAATCTGTGTGTGTTTGTGCACGTCCCTCTCCTCAGGTTTCTCGGCTCGGAGCTGAGCTGGTGAAGCCGCCGCTGGGAGAGGAGCACAGTGGGAGCTTCCCTGGAATCCTGCTGGGACCTGGGAAGGAAGATGCAAGG